CCCCAAAACCCCAAAACCCCAAAACCCCTAACTGAAAAATATATTCATTAATTCAATTGCAATATTCAGGAATATTTAATTTATCATAAAACCCATAATAATTAATAGTGGTTACTGATTCATTATTGATACTTGCTACACTTCATTACAGAATCATCTCATTAATATCATTTGTATCATCGAAAATTTTCTATAATTTCTGAAGAAGATTCTGGTTCTCGTCAATCCTCTATGTCAGATTCTTATCCTTATAAATATTAGGTAATTTTACTGCCTCCATTCTCTATTTACCCTTTACTTGGTAATGATGAGATTGTATTGCTATAGCATTTGTAAGATTCAAGTGATCAATCATTTCATTTTCAAGGAAAAATTGGGCTTTTTATTGTGAGAATACATAGGGTGAAGTATTATTAGATTGCCTTTCAGCAGGCCTTCCTATTTTAATGTTAACTTTTGGTGGAGTATCTAGCCTAGCCGAGGTATTTGGTGATTAATCTATAACTCTTTAATCAATCTAATTCGTACTTTATGTCTTAGATATTGGCATGAGGCTGATTTTATTGTGATGCCTGCTTCTTTTAATTGATTTTTTCATTTGTTGTTGCTTGAGGTCCATCATTTTTTATTTTTATCTTTTAAATAGAAATGCATCTAAATTTTCTCTTGAACCTATGATTTCTTCTACTTTTCCTATGTTTACCATTTGCTAGTCTAAATCACTCATTTGCTAATTTTTTTCGCCTTTGCCAAGTTTAATACTTTTGGTGAAATCGTCCTATTTTCTCTTTTTGGAACGTTTCTCCTCCATTTCTCTGGCTATTTTACCCAAAGGGTCTTAAACAAAAGACTCATATCTAACTGGCTTTTTATGGTCTTCTCTCATATCATTTAGAGCATTCATGATATGCCTGCCTTAGATATTTTCATCACCTTCTTTTTCTAACCCATTCATCATTAGCTTTCTCTAATATATTCCAAGTTTTAATACCAGTGGAGCATTCTTATCAAGCCCCTCAAGATTCTCGATAGATTCAGATAAGTCTATCAAGGAATCCTTAAACAAACATCTGCAAAATACTCTCTTAAAATCCTCATAGTTCAAAATTTTGCCCTTTGCTAAGTGGCTGCCTAAGTACTTACTGAGAACCTTAACTGCTGAATCTAAATCCTAACTGATTCCCTTTGAAACGAATAGGTGCGTCACTTTTGGAGTTTTAGCTTCCCATTTTTTTTAGGGATCTATTTCTTTCCACCAGTCATCTACTAGATCCATAAGCTCATTCAGAGATGGATTCTTAACATCTGGTATGAATCCAACAAAACTAAAATGGTTAGTAAGTCTCTCATTGATTTAAGGCATCTAATTATGAGAGTTTTATTGAGATGAATGCTAAATTGGCTGAAGCTGCTGTTGATTCTGTTAGCTCTAAACTTAATCAAAACTATTGAATGCAAATGATTTATTGCTATCTTAGTTATTCAATCTAGGATCAAATATAGCTATAGACATGCTACTTTTTAATGGACTTTAAAGTGTCCTTTAAGCATTAATATTGATATTCGATTATGCGCCAGGAGAATTCATCATTTATTATCTAAGCTTAGTCTTTGCTGATTTTTAATACTTGTCTCTTTATTCTTAAACTCTCTTTTCAATACAGGCCTCTTTTACTGCTTTTGAAATCCTTTCTCCAATCTTGTCTACATTAAATATTTTAACAAAGTCTTTCAATGTTATCTGGATTTCTTAGTCTAAACGAAATTAGATTACAAGCAGAGATATTTACCTTTTTTCTGATTTCCATCAATCAAGGATAAAAGAAGTTTCGTGACAAATTCAGTATCAGTACTTAATCCCAGTGATACTAATGGTAGAGCTATTTCCTGCAAATCTAGAACTCCTGAATTATCATCATCCCAGATTCTAAATAGTTCTTTTGCAAATTCCACATGTTTCTCCTTGGATGAGTAATCATTAACATTTTATCTTTTCTGCACCCATTTCTCAGTCTTTCTAAATTCTAAGAATTGCTTTTTATTCAAGCCAAGCAGCTGCTACATGTCGTGCTATGGAAGTGCAGCATCCATAATGAATAGTTTCTCATGAGTCAACAGTGGATTCTTCATCTCTTGAACTTCACCTTAGTAAGTATAATCCTCTGGAATTTCCTTGATACTCTCTAGACTATTATTAATTTGATTTGCTACTCTTAATCCTTGTTTATTGATATTAGTCCTTATGCCTTCATTGAATCTGTCATAGTTTTATTTACTAAATGGCCCATCAAAATCTTTTATAACACCATCAGCCGTTTCAATACTCTTGTTAGTTTAGTTGTTCTTCTTCTTAATTTCTTCTTCAATTCTATGACTTAAGGCGTATAAATTGCTAAGTTTAAGCTTTTTTCCAGCTTAATCATCATATAGAGGTAAATCCAACATCTTTTTTTCATCATCCTTACTAATCTTAAATGTTATTGGTTTTTAATCTCGAAAAGTATTGATCCTTGAAGTTACTTGAGAAGCATTATTTTTAGGAGATAAGATTATAGGATTAGGCAAACTAAACTTTTTGCTATGAAAGACTCTTTAAAGTTCTTAACGCACTTTGTTTTACTCATACAATCTTTTGTGATGAGAGGGTCTTTTCAATATGAAATTAGGGTTTTAGGGATCCTTTTCAATGATATCGCTGGAATTGTCTTAATCAAAACTTTGTCTTAGACTAATCTAGAGAGTCTCACTCAGGTTAGTTAGATCTCTATTCCGTCTATTGACTCTTTTAATCTAAATCTCTCTTCTTTCTGATCCATAAACATATCATTTCTCTAAAAGACTTGAAACTTTTTTAAAGAATTACCATCAGATGCAAAATTTAACTTATCTTTCAAGGAGAATTATGGCTACTAAAGACTGCTCTAAGTGTCTAAAATGTACCTATTGATCTCACTAGAGGTCTGTACAGGCTAGGATGTCTTTATCAGTATATTATTAGATTCTTGAGACTATCACACAAGGGGAGGTTATGAACTCTAGATACATTATTAAATCAAATAATTACTTTGAGTGATATGAGAGATGGCTGCATTATGTCTATATCGATGGATTTTTTGGGGTCATCTTCGACAACTGACTTGTAGAGCTCAACTAAATTCTAGCTGGGATTGATGTCTATGTTAACTTATTATAAAGGAATAATTACCCATAAAATTTGCTAGGGAACCATAGCAATCTTGAGTCGAAACTTGACTTTGAAATTAAGAACTTTATGTAGATCTAGGCTACCTTGATAATAAATTATTTCCAACTTTTTCCATAATATTTATTCTCTTTATTATTTATTCGCAATAAAATACAAATACTATATTTACGATAGCGGGGTTTTGGGGTTTTGGGGTTTTGGGG